GCCGTGCGTCTGTTCAGTAATAGATCACAGATGACGTCAAAATGTGGTAAGAACAAAAAAGTGGCCAACGAGCCGCTGCGGCGAGTTGGTCACTGATGTTCTTACCACATTTTGACGTCTTCTGTGATCTATTACTGAACAGACCCACGGCAACATGGAATCTATTTGTTTTATATAATTTTGGAGATATTCGCTTCGGATTTTCACTTGATTGTACGCTAAATAAGCCGATAAAAATTATGTCAACAAACATCGAGTTTAGGCCACAGTGTTTTCATGCACTCAAATAAAACTTTGTGAAAACTAAACGGCTTAAAATAAACTACAGCCTCAACTCAGCAAATGTTTCGAAAAGCAAATATTTAGAGACTAACCTCTATTCCGTCCTGATATGAGTAAAAACAATCTGAATTATTCCAGTCCAAATCCCGTTGCAAGTCGCTTATAAACGGCGAACGATAATCCCGCTAAATTTATCGGATTCTGTTCACAAATTATGAGCTAAAGGACCATCATATTTTCCTCCAAGTTCTAGCCAAGCTTGAACAGCCGATTTAAAATTCGTATCAATTGAACTACATTGAATTTCCTACGGAATATTTCCAGTTTGACGAAAATATTTCTCTGTTTTGAGCGAAGGATTCGTTGGAGCAGGCAGGGCGCCCGCGCGTTTTCCCGCTTCGTGACGTCATTCGTGCGTCTGTACTCTAATAGATAACAGTTCTAAACCAATCACGGCGCGAGTTTTACACAGTGAATTATATAAAACTTTATACATGTTGATTTGATTAATGACAAAATATCTCTTTCCATCCCCGTGAGAGAGGTGATAGTAATTCTGGAAAACAACGCAGAAATTTGAGTGATTTGATTAAAAAAGACAAAAAAAGACAGGGGTTTGCCCTTCCACGATCGCGACGGTTTTTCATGACTGAAATTTGCATATTTGACAGGAGCCGAGGAGCATGTCTGCTGTCGCAATTCGAGTCAGATGATTTTTTTGTCGATCACTTTATAGCAAGTTTCTGAAATTTCCTCTTCGCTTTAGCAGACAATAGCAATTAAACATAGAAACTACAAGGAGAAGATACATAACGAATTATTTGCAAAGTGGAAAAAGCCAAGCGTGACAAGGGTGGTTTCGTGACTATCCTGCGGTCGTTAGCTGTCAACTGTCTGATCTGATCTAAGCTCCAACACTTTCAGCTGTATAATTTATATGTTGACAAGAGAATTCCTCGGACCGTCCACTGGAAACGTAAACGGCACGAGCATCTTTGCATGTCGAGTGGAGACAAATGCATTGACTGCCGTCCTTGTGCACAAAACAGCGATCATCCTTAGCACTTGTTGAACAGAAAACAATCCAGCATGAATGTACACAGATTTTGGGCATATAAAGAGCTTTGGCACTTTAGCTGGAGCCGTCCCACCAAGATGATGTCCGCAATTGGCGGCGCAAACCTCCGGTTTTCCAACGATTGCTGAATGTGGAACGGCAGTTTGGGCAGAACCCTTTGCCACGTTCCGTCCAACCCGACGCGACCCCGACTCTACTAGGCACACTATCAACTCTCAAACCCGCGAACACGATAGGCGCCACCAATGTACTATCAACTCTCAGACCTCGAACACGATGTACGCGAACAATACACTTTCAAATCGCGACCACGAAATTATGACTACACCACTATCAACTCTACAACTATCAACTAGGGGAAAAAAACAATCAACTAGCGAAAAAAATAGCGAAAAAACCAGCGAAAAAACACGGCGATCGATAACACAATGTACCAGCTACTATCAACTTGTGTATCAGCTTGTATGACATCACAATGCAGGCTATTGTAAATTGACCAATCAACGACTTGCAACCGCCGCAACGGAAGTGAAACGGTTGACCAATCAGAAACGACGTTCCGAGAGCTTCGTAATAATGAAGACCGGATGCGAGAGAGTGGCAGAAATCGAGTCTAACATATCTTATGGTTTGGGGTTTCATTGCTGGGCTAAAATATCCATACTCCCCCCCCCCCCCCCCCCCCCCCCCCCACAGAAGGTTTTTGGTTTAAACCCACCCCACCCCATGGAAATTCCAGTTTAGCTTGATACTTTCCTTTAAAAAATTTGGCTTTTGAGACCCCCTCCCCCTCAGAATTTACAATGACCTTCCTTGGGGTGGGTATGGATATTTTCTGGAACTGCACATTTTGAATTTGGATGTCCTTGTAAGTAAAAAGTTTAAGCCTGTATCTTTGTTTTTAAAACCTGGTTCTCTTGTAACGATTTAAACACAACTACTCCACTTGACTTCAGTAATCCAGATAAACATGCACCTAGCTTCTTCCACACTGATGAAATATATATATATATCGCACAGGAAATGGGATTTTTGTCTTATGTAGGGAACAAATGAAGTCAGAGATAATAAACATAAGGGGAAATGTACCAGTCTTTTATTACCTTACTCTTAGAAGTCCTGCTCGGGGCGAGATCTCATTTCTAAAGGCAGGTCCAATCTGAGCAGCAGCAAATGGCAGCCTTCCATTATTAGCTTCCAAGAGTCGCTTGAAATTAACAAAGATACCTTGGGCTGTTTCTGGTCTAAGATAACTGTATATCAATGAAACAAAACATACAGTATTTTTAGGCTACAAAACTCAACAAAACTTAAAACCTTTCATTATAAACGATATGACACCCGTTTTTGATAAAAACTGCTACCTTTTCCCAAAATAACGGCTACAAAGGACCCTACCAAACATATCATTTTATTATGAAAGTAAGGACATTATTTGGGGTCCTTATTTAATGTTACAATGTAGCACCATGGCAGCATGGTCCTTACCCAGGGATGAGCCCACTGGGACCAATTGAGGTTGTGAACATCAAATTGAACTCTACAGGATCAGTCAAGTCATTTCCTGTCACCGGTGACTTAGCATTATATTTTTTTAGTAGCTCGCCCAGTTCTTTCATTCCATAGTTGTCAATCTGAAGAAACAAACAAAAAAAAACTTATCATAGGCATGCAATGCGTGCAGAGGGCTATACGAATCCAGCATCATAGGTAAGCAATGCGTGCAGAGAGCTATAAGAATCCAGCATCATAGGTACGTAATGCGAGCAGAGGGTTATAAGAACCAAGCATCATAGGTATGTAATGTGTGCAGAGGGTTATAGATCTGCTAGATTTGTTGTTTGTAAAAAAGTTATTTTTTGTGCAGTGGCCCAATGGCGTTGGACTTTGGATCGAGAAGTCCGAGTTCATGCCTGGTCCTAATATATGTTGTGTTCCAGATGAAGACACTTTACTCTCACAGTGTCTCCCTCCACCAGTGAATTGTTAATGCAACCTGACATAGTACTGATGATATTGTAAACTTGTACTGTAACCAGTCAGATGCAGTCTTCATGACTTTTATAAGTGATTTCCAAGTGCTCACCTGACCAATAACACTTTCATATTCCTTTTTTAATCCTTCATCCAGTTTTTTATCAGCTAATAACTTTTCAAGGTGACCTAAACAAACAGAAAATTAAATGGTTAAAAAAAATGTAGTTTATACACACTTTACTTGACAAAAAAACCCTAGCCTTGACCCTTTCACTCCCAAGAGTGCTAAGCTCAAAACTTAGGAAAAAGTCTTGAAATTATTTCATTTTGCAAAATTGTCAAAAACAGACAGCACCACTTGAAAGAACTGCTTGATAGTTTCCATTTAAATGGTCACACATGTAGGTTTCATCCACAGACTCAGAAGGTGCAGCCACATTTAATTATTGACTCAAGGTTTGACTCTGGGAATGAAAGGATTAATGCCACACATTTTCACAATAAATTTATGTTCATCAATTAACCAGCTTTAAGATTATTCATTTGAGTAACAATCAAAAGAGTGATTATAGAAACTGACCTTCTAATAGATGATCAGCTCGATAACAGTCACCGCTCTTGACATCCTTTACCATGTAATCAGCAAACCTATCTACATGGCCAGATGCTCTACAAGTAACAAAATAAAATACTGGTACTTAGTTTACTACCAAATACTTATTAGGTACATGATATGTTGAGACATTTCAAATTAAAGGATTGATGGGGGAGGGGCTTCTTAGGTATTCAAGACAGCTGAGCATGGGGGATTTGGGAGAGGATGTACTGTGCAGTGGTCAATGGGAAGGGATAAGAAGAGAAAAGAAAAGAAAAGAAGCTCTCACCTTTTCCTCCTTCCCATCACCCTCCATGCACCCTCTCCCCCCCCCCCCCCCCCCCCCCCCGCTCCAAAAACAATATACCAGTAGTTACCTCAAAATAATTCATAAAAATAATTGTCTTGGCTACAAACCATCTTGGAAATGGGGGAAGGGGGCTAATAGAGAGATGCAGCCTCCTCCACAGGCGTTTCTGGGGATATTTTGGCAGTTCAGCAATTCATGAGTAATTTTACATACTCACTTGAGAACTTGATGAGGTGTAAGCAGTGATGCCCTGATTTCTAACATTTGCTCTTCCAGAACAAAGTGTGATTTCCATATGTTGACCATGTTGGCCTCCATAGCACAGCCAGATGGTCCATAATCATACAAGCCTGCCACACCTAGTATGACAAATAGAGAACATTAAATCAACTGTTTAAAAAGACTGTCTGGCACTTAACTCCAGTTTCAATAGCATGACTCGGTGACTAGCTAGGAATATCGCTAAGTACTCCCCTTACCATTTGTGTCAGGTTTCCCCAACATTTGCGCCCAACGAAAGCTTTGCTCCTTTGGCCACTACACACTTCCCCCTTAAAAAATGTTATTTCATATCTGCTCTGTCCTTTTTCTATTTTTTTCCTTCTTCTTATGATTGTTAATAATTTATTGTAATCGGAATAAGTGTGAATAAAAATGAACTGAACTGAACTGATTTCACTGATACCTATTAATTTTATACTCTGGGTTGGAGAGAAGCACCGGGAGAGTAAAGTGTCTTGCCCAAGAACAAAACACAATGCCCCGGCCAGCACTCAAACCTGGACCTCTGGACAGGGCTGGAGTCCAATGCACTAACCACTAGGCTACCACACCTCCCACAGGAGACTAGTTGCTGTATATATTAAGGTCATTCCATCGAAATAAAAGTTGCACTGGGAAATTTCTGAAACTTTCCCTAGTTGAACATTGCGATGTAATATTTCAAAATATAGAATAAAAAAAATAGGTCACCAGCCCCGCGAAAGAGATATAATCGACTAAAAATACCTCATAATTCCTTACAAAATTAACCAAAAACACGTATTTTTAAACGTTTCCAGTGATAATTAATTTCCCTGCACTGAGAATTGGTCCATACTCCTTGCATAGAAAGAAGATGATTACTAGACTTAAATATGCGAAAAAAATGATAGGTCACCACGCTCGTTTACGAGAAAACGAACATTTACCTCTCTGGTGAGCATAGCCATAATGAAAAAGCCGCCATTTTTTAACGTGCGCGCGCTAATTACGCGCAAAATTATGCGCAGAAAGGATGCGCAGTGCAATACTAAGGAATGACCTTAAGACGATTTCCGCTGGACGTTCGAGCAAAAAGTGCAACAAATTAAGTTACCAAAAAAATACTCATAGCACGGTAACATTTTGAATACAGTTAAGAAGAAATTATCGATAAATTAGCTCCCAAGCTGACCCCGTGAGAGAAGTCATTACATATGTTAATTAAAACGACGCTTCATGTCAGTTCAAAACAAAATGGCGTGTGTTTTTATAATTTTTTACGAGGTTTTACATTAATTTTCTCGAGAATGCTTGAGAATTTAATTTCGGGGTCACTTGGAGAAGTGAATTAAAGTAATATGTTTCAAGTAGTATTCAAAATGTTACCGTGCTATGAGTAGTTTTTTAGTAATTAATTTTTGCACTTATTGCTCGAACGTTGAGCAGAATCCGTCTTAATATTCCATTCAACCAACCTCCATATATTTCAAAGGAAGGGACAAAAAGAAGCGTCTTTTCAACAAGTCCTCCATTTTTGATCTGTCAAACTTCTCTTGTTTGGGGGCTAGTTCTTTCTCCTAAAGAAATAAAACAAAAATACAGTGTAAACTATTTAACAATAATAAGACCATGGTGATGGACTGTCGGTCCTGATGATTAGATTAATTATCACTTATTTATTGCTGCCCGCATAGGACAGCCTCTTAATTCTGTCCTGAGACTCGATTTCAGGATTTCCGTCTGCCGGTAAGATGTTTGTTAGCAGTACCCAGTCCCCTCCGCGTGAAAAGTCTGATTGGTGACGACCATTGCACGCTCAAATTTGCACGAGAAGAGACAATTGTTGTTTTCGGGATTTCTTTTGCGCCCCCGAGGAGACGCTGTTTTGAGACGCTCTGATGCTTGATTATAGCCGATTTCAGCTGTTTTGAGATGCTGTTACACACGCTCTTGCACGAAAGGATCTTGCGTGACATTGTTTTATTACCAAGCCGCCTTGTTTCTAGTGAACATATGAACTGACCTTTGTGAGATCCAAGTCACATGCTCCTTTTTTCTACGATTTCACAACACGCACGTTGCATTGGTTTACTTCAATCACATCGACAATTTAAATATTTGGACACGTTGCATTGTGTTCACAATTGGTTTACATGTACTTGAATTGTCTCAAAAATTAAATATTTGGAAAGCAAAGACGAATCTGGCTGTGACATTGTAACAAATGTGTCTGTCACTACCAGATGTTGGCTTTGAGCTTTGTTATTATAAGGTTATTTTGAGACGCAATTGCACGAAAGGATCTTGCGTGACATTGTCTTATTATAAAACCAACGATGATAATGAAATTACAAATGTGGCAGCACTTCACTTCCAATATGGTACCCCTAGTTTAATCTTATTAAATGCTTGAATTAAGGTACCTTGTTCTCAAGAGCCTTTTTCCTGACTTTAAGCTCTTTGATGGCCACTTCGACATCAGGTGCTGGAGCATTTTCGGATTTTAGCTTTTTTTAACCAAGTCACCCTACGGCAAAGACAGATTAATCAGCTCAAAATCAAGTTCACATCATGGAGTGTCTCTCTAGTCTACCAATCTGCCAGGGGGAACTCCCCTATGCCGTCCCAAAGGGCATGGTTTTTAGCTGTTTTTTGGTCTCAAATGAGGTATGTTTTGCCTACCTGTCTCAAATAGGGTATAGATTTTTGCCATTTTGTCCTAAAAAGGTAGAAATTTTTAAGGGTCAGGTCTGAAATTGGGTCAGGAAAATCGCACATAGGTTTACACCAGCTGTGATTCTTTTTTCTCAGCTGATCTATACTGCAGTATTCAATTCCTACTGTTACCATATGCATCGCACTCCACCCCCCACCCCCCCACCCCCCCCCCCACCCCCCCACCCCCGGGTAACCCCGGGACAAAGTCAGCCCTTGTGGCCCCAGGGTGGGGAATTTTGCAAGTCATCTTGTCCTGGGGTGGGGGTGGGATTATTGAAGTATCTACATGTACGTAGTCACACAAGGAATTATGGGGCAAACATTTGCGTCGAACATGCCTCTGCAGTTCTTTAATTTGTGACATTTGTTTGTTAGAAGTTCAAAAGATAGAGCAAGGGGAATTTTGGAAGATTGTAATTGGGCATTAAGAGGAATTGGCTGCGAGGGAAAATCTAAACCAGGGGCTTTGCCTTGCAAGATTCCCCCTGCAGGATAATGTCCCTATCCCTGGGCAAATTGGTAAAGATTATTCCACTTTTTACAATTATCCTGGTTGCCCCGTGGCTCGGAACCCACCAAGGTCAAAAATAATAAAATGAAAATTATTTCTTGGGATGATGCAATACATGGACTGTACACACAGCACAAGACAGCTGGGCACTAATGTAGGGATTTAAAATAAAATAAAATCCGTTCAGCTTTATATAAATTATCGCAAAACAGCCCAAAATAAATAAACATTTCAGTTCTCTCAAAATATTCATGAACAGGTTTCCGTGACATGAGGAAATTCTACTTCCGCTCAAACTTCCGAATATGGCAATGATGGAAATCAGTGAAATGACTCGATGGTACAAACATATATTGTACAAACCAAAATAAATATCTTAGGGCATCAATTCTCTGCTTCATCAGTGAAAAATATTTCCTACATACCTGTTCCTTCACCGATTTCCGTAAATTGTCCAACAGGCTTGGATTTTCTGCACTTGCATCAGACATCGTTTGTATTCCAACAAAAAATATTGACTTCAAATCGTTTTTGAAAATCGACAAAGCCGCACTGGGAAGGCGGTAGATGTGTCTGTATTTTTTTGGAAGGAAGATTTGTCCCTGGCTTAGCTTTCTGACGCAAAATAGTGTTCTGGGAAGTAAATTTCTGAAGACAAACGATGTATTCATTCAGTGATTCATAGTTTTTGTGCCACGAGGATTTGGAATACCGGTGTGGCATGCGCCCGTCAAATAACTACATCAAATATTACTCATGAAGTGTCCTTTAATTTGTGATTGCGTGACTGTTCAGTGCTAGCGTGACTTTTCTGAATGGGTGGTGTCAATTTGCCACAAAAGTAAATTTCCTTGTTATTACCAACTTCGAAAAGTGAGTAATCTGTGTTTTTACACGCCTTTTCACCGAGATTATTTAGCTACGATGAGTAAAAGGAGAGCAACTTCATCTGCCGAATCGAAGAAAAAGCGAACGAAAGTAGAAAAGGAAGACCAAACAGATTCAACCGAGGTGACGTCCTTTGTGGAGAAAGTAGCTCGGGAACTTCGCAAGAATGCCGATCGCAAGAGAAGTCAGTCTATGAAGAAATACATGAGGGATCAGTTCGAGTTTTTTGGCATAAGCAGCCCTTTGAGGAAGAGCGTTTGTAAAGAATTCCTTCAGCAGAAATTGAATTCAGACGACACTAGAAAGTTTGTTGTTCTTTTGTGGGCAAAACCTGAACGAGAATTCCAACAATTTGCGATTGATTATCTCGAGAAGAACATGGATACCACACCAGAATTTCAAGCAAACATGCAGTGCATGGAAGACTTGATCACAACAAAGTCGTGGTGGGACACCGTTGATGCACTCGCTTCCAAAATGGTTGGGGGACTCGTGAGGCAACATCGCGAATTGGGGAAAGCGATCATGGAAGAATGGATCTGTCATGAAAATATGTGGCTCAGGAGAACTGCCTTATTGCATCAACTCTCTTACAAAGAGGAAACCGACGAGGAAATGTTGTTTCGATTCTGCAGTCTAAGGGCTGATGAGGGAGAGTTTTTCATCAGAAAAGGCAATCGGCTGGGCTCTCAGACAATATGCTCGGACTTCTAGTTCCAGTGTCAAAAAGTATTTACTGAAACACAAGAAAAGAGTTGAGTGGTTTGAGCTTTAGAGAAGCGGCAAAACATTTGAACTTATAAAAGGCATATGCAAGCTGGTATGCCCCGTGTGGTATGCCTGGGTATGCCCCGCCCAAAAGGGTTAGTTCCCAGGTTCCTCTCTGTTCCTGAGCTGATAATCATGACATCAGCTGATCAGAACAACCCATCTGAGGGACAGCTGAGATATGGCATTAGATTAGTTTAGATTAGTCGAGATTGCGAGATTCAACTGTAATAATTTGACTGAATAATAACTTTTCTTTATGTATTTTGATTGTACTGTATTTCTATATTTTCTCTTTTTGACAAACAGTGTATAATAATAAAAAACTGAACTGAAAACTGAAACTGAGATTAGTACAATATTCAGAGAGTAATCTGACAAATGCATGGTGGATTTACAAGGTCAGTTACTCCCTGAATTGTACAACACAAGGTCCAATGACTAATAATCATGGCCCAGTTGTTCAAAAGGATGGATAACGCTATCCACCAGATAAATCACTATCCAACAGATGGTGTAGTTTGTTTTGTTAACACTTATCCACTTATACCTGCCTACTCTCACGCCTGCAGATCGAAAACTTCGATCTCATGCCAGCTCACGCCTACGGAAAAATTTCTCACGCCTGGCTGAAAAATTGGAGCTATTACAGCCTGTAACTGACACTTCAAAAAATATGTAAACTAATAAGTAAACGATTATGTCG